GGAATGAAAATTCAAAAACTCAGTAATTCTTTCTTTTGATGTTTCTGAAGTTCCTGAAGCCATTTTGAAAAATCATAATCTTATACTGATTGTTGGTTTATTACATTTTATAACATTTTAACAGCTTAAAGGAATTTTATATATTTGATTATTAATTTATTGAGCCATTCTTTTATTCAGTGAATGTTCATTGAATATCTTTTATATTCTAGATATTAGTGAAGCATGATGTTGAGCATATGAGGATTCAATTGAAATACAGTACTATGACCAGTATACTAAGAATAGGCATGGGGGCTAAGGTAGAACAAGGAACTCATAAACCAACAGAAATTTGGTCAAGGAAGCCTTTGTGGAGTCAGTGACCAACAGGCCATTTAAATGGGAATAAGGTGAGAAGGGAAGTGTAGAATTCTAGGCAAAAACAAAACAAAACAAAAAGATAGGGTATATGTTGCTTGCTTGACACATTTAAGAAAATGCCTGTAGGTTCTCCAGTTTTATAGATAAAGAGTATCTTGAGATACTTAATGGTTTTAGCATGGTCAAATGGCAGATTTCAAGCTGGAGACTTAGTTTGCTAGATTTCCAGTGGAAATTTCTCTCCACTATTCTTTTATCAGTGTATACACATGATTATTGAGCATGAAAATAAGTTAAATACCCTGTAAATATATGTGCTGTTTTTAAAAATAATAATCATTATTGGCCACCTAAAATTAACCTGAAAGTATTACTGTCAGAAGCCAATTTGAATGCTCTAAGAATTAAACAATATATGGCATAAAAATCAATGTCTTTTTTTCAATTCACAATATCAATATAGATCAGAAAACAAGTTGGCTAAGATAATACATTTATTATATATCTTATTTCCATAGTCATTATTAACTAAATCCACAGGTAGGTGTGCTTTAGATCTTGAAATCCTAAAGCATATGAAACGTTTTGCATTTTTAATTCTTGGAAAATATTACTTATCTATCTAGATGTTTTGTTTTTGCATTTTTTAGAATACCAAATTTTCCCTATTGACACCAAATAGTCATAATTTTAAGGTAAAGTTTTTAATTACAGACTCTGTATTTGTTGTAAATTTTATTAGTTATATAATAATATTGAATATTTGTACTCATTTAATTACTGTTAGTCATTATTTGTACCTAAAGCTCAATACTAATTTATTATTTTTGCTAACGTGTATTTTTTTCTAGTTTTCTTAGGAGAGTATTTTGCCAAACATAGTCATTATCTATTGTAATGTGAATCTATTTTTTTCTTCACATTGATAATAAGATGCGAAAGGTGAATCTTTCCCTTCTGAGGAAAAGCTAACCTTTCCAACAGAAACACATTTGGTTCAGTTTATATATAGTTTTTAGCACCTGTCTAGTTGCTTTGAAGCTTTTAAGTCATACAGTTCATATTGTGTTATTTAAATTGTTCACAAACGATTTCTTTTATCTGAGTACAAAAAGGGAAATTGGGCAAAAATGGAAACCTATCATCTTTTGTGCAGATGAACTTCCTGGACATGGTGTTATTTTGGTGTCATAGGGTTGCCATCTAGTGGCTCCAATGGGTACTTGTTTGTTAATTTTACAATATTGATTAAAACAATCAGAACTTTAGAACAAAGTTCTAAATTGGGACGAATAAATCAGTAAAATTGATGTGTAGTAATATAAAGATTATAGTCCAATAGGAATTATTTTAAGAAATTATATTATACAAATATTAAAAACTTAAGAAATAGGAAACTCTTGTGATTTTTAAGGACTCTGCTCTTAATACAAATTGTGGATTAAAGGTTCAGCCTGCCCACACTAGAAAAATAAATAATGTTTAAAATAAATTTATATTATGTCCTTTGTATTTTATATGGGATGTTATAACTCAGCTATAATAAATAAAAATACTCTGGCATTTTAATAGTGAGTTAAGTCTCTTAAGCAACTTGTTTTGTTTATAAAAAAAAGTTGATTTTCAAGTTCTATTAATTCATTTTAATTCTCTCTCTTATCCATGCTCAAGCAGTACAGACTGAATCATAGTTCATGATTCATGTTCCTAATCACTGAATGAATTTTGTTTTAAAATACTCTTTCTGCATTTATAGCTTTATGATTTCTGGTAGCCTTAATTGTCTTTGATAGAAATTATGTACTATTCTGTTGCCAAGAACATGATATACTGAAATAAGTGTTCTGATATAAATTTTCTCTAACAAATTATATTTTATGTCCAAATTTTTCAGTTTTTGTAATTTTTATTATCATACATTTCACTAGCATGTGTTGCATATAAGGGATGAATTCAACAAATGGATCTTTCTTTTTCAATTTGTTTTCTTGAAAATTTTCAAATAAGAAGAAAAGTTGAGGAGTCAAATAAACACTTGCTGACATTTACCTTGCTGATGTTCTGCCACATTTGCTTTTCCCTCTTTAGCTGATACAGAATTACAGTTTAGAAGTGGATTCTCTTGTGTGAAACCTAGATTTTATTTATGGATTACTATATAGTTTTTATACATCCATAGTGGAATTCACTTCCTTTGTTCATAGGTTCACTTTTGTTTACCTTATGTAGTTTGTGAACATCCAAACTGAATTTCATAAACAGAAAAATGACTTATTTAGAACTGCTCATCTTTTCTAAGTGAAAAAAATAGCTGATTATAGTAATACCTCATAGCTTTTTAAAAATTTAATAGTTAACTCAAGTTGAAAATAAATTTCCTTACAATTGGCCTCATATATAACACAGTTGGTTACTTTCCCAAACTTTAAGTATACATGTTTTAGTCAGATTTTTTGCTGCTACAACCAAAAGACCTGACAGGAACAAATAGAAAAGTTTATTTTGGGGCTCAGGGTTTCTGAGGTCTATTATTTTCTGAGTAAATAACAGAAATTTACTGTTATTCATTTAATAAAATCAGATGGCTGATTTCATTGCTGCAGGACCAAGGTAAGGCAGAACATCATGGTGGAAAAGTGTGGAGGGGGAAAGCAGCTGAAGACATAGAACCAGGAATCAGAGAAACAGATAATAAATCTCTTCGCCATGATAAAATACAAAACCCAAAGGCACACCACCTGTGATCCACCTTCTCCAGCTATAAGCCATACCCCACCTACCTACAGTTACTACCCAATTAATCCCTATCAATGAATTAATCTGCTGATTAGCTTAAGCTTCTCATAAGCCAATCATTTCACCTCTAAACTTTCTTGCCTTATCTCACACATGAACTTTTGGGCAATACCTTGTGTCTAAACCATAAAAATACAAATATATTGAATATATTGAATTTTTAAAAAATCTTAAGGGCTTTACTTTAGGGGATAGAATCTTCATAAAATTTAAGACAAATTTTTTAAAAATTCAATAAATAAATTTTATAAGTAAGAAACTCAAGTTCTCTAAAATTTGGTTTATTGATTTGGTCAAAATTCCATGCCTATAATGTTAATAATCTTAATTCTAAAATTGATTACATAGTTTGATATATTAAATTGGAAGTACAATTGATTTGAATTCTTTTAAACTTCAAACACCTTAAATAGCATGTGTATGCGTATGTACCATTCCACATTTTCAGAATTCATAAAAGCATCCATATTGGATTACATAGTCATATTGTATTTGTTTTTAATTCTTACCAGAGTTCTATGATGCTCATTAAGAAAATAATATTACCACCCTAAATTAAGGTTGTTGTTTCCAATCATATAATGTTATCATTTGCTTACTGGCCAGAGCTTTTTGCCTAGGACAGGACACCTTAACTGGGTATACCAGGACAGTTTTCCTGGTACCACTTCTGGGCACACTGATTATCTTTTGAAGCCATGCAGAAGAAAAGGGATTCCAAATTCCTATACTTGAGAGGTGGTTATCTTTTGGGGATTTAGGTTACATTCTTATTTATTTGTTTAAAATGTTTTTCTGTTCTCTTAATCCAATTTTAATCCCTATATTTCTGCTTCAAAAGACATTTCTGGAGCTCCTGAATACATCTGTGTAATTCCTCAACTTTATTTTAAAGCTATGACTTAGGCCATATGTTGCAGCTAACATCTTACAGTCATTCTCTTATTGGCTTGATTAAATCCTGAGATTTTTCTTATATCCTTCCTATCTGACTCAAACATATACTTATGAATTAAATAGTTATTGGATTAGATACAGCTTTGACAGATTTTATAGTTACCACAATAAAATTATGATAATTATAGCCCTTCCTTCCTTCCTTCCTTCCTTCCTTCCTTCCTTCCTTCCTTCCTTTCTTTCTTTCTTTCTTTCTTTCTTTCTTTCTTTCTTTCTTTTTTGTACTAGGGATTGAAATCACATGCTTAAAAGCACCACTGGGCCACATCTTCAGCCTTTAAAATTTTTTTTCTCACTGATTTGCTTAGGGCCTTGTTAAATTGCTGAGGCTGGCTTTAAACATCCTCCTGACTCAGCCTCCCAAGCTACTAGGATTACACATGTGAGCTACCACATCTGGCTAGCAATTTCCTGATAAAAGAAGAATTTGACTAAACTAACATATAATACTTGAAAAAATAATAATAACAATGACCTGATATATGAAGGTTAAAATACATTTAGTAAAAGAAGATAAAACCATATTACTTACCAAAATTTGCCATATTCTTTACCAAGTATTTTCCAGTAACTGTCCCAAGGTTTAGCTCTTAACAATTCTGTCGAGTACGGCTCATTTTCTTATTCACAGAAGAAGAAAACTAGGCACAGAGAGTTTAAGCAACCTGTTCTAGTTCACACAGGTAGTAAGTGGCAGAGTCAGGATTCAAACCCTGGCAGTTTGAGTATACCTTCCATGTCCTAAACAACAATAGCATTAATATCATAAGGTTGAATATGTTTTGGGAACCAGATGTGTTTAATGTTAATTGTGGTTGATACTTTGTCTTCAGATAGAGAGACAAATAAATACTTACTTATTTGTAATTGACATGTCCACATAGGTAGTGAACTATTTGCTGGACTCTACAGTGACTATTGGGGCAGAGATGCTGCCATCTTCCGGAGCATGGGGCGACTTGCCCATATTCGCACTGAGCATGACGATGAGCGTCTATTGAAAGGTAGGATTGAGACAGAATACAGAGGAAATTAGAATTGAATACAAGCCTAGATTTCATGGATAATTTTGCCACTTTGATAATTACAATATAAATATAGCTTAGAGTTTTTACAGATTTGAGAATGTTTTTGTTGGCAAAATCCTTGAGGTAAAATCTATATGGTATGTGTTCATCATTTCATATGGATTGGTTTAATTATAAAATCAATTTACCTTCCTAGCAATGCTTAGAAATCAAAATTTAAATGAATAAAACAAAGCGAATATATGAAAAGTGAAAAATTCATCATACAATAGGGTTTTTCTGTTCTTATCAATTGGTATAATTTCTAATGACTTGATTGCTTTGTTTTTCTTGTCTTAATAGGATCACATGGCACCTTAGATATAAAACTTTAGAAAGGTCACTACCCATTTACTGATAGAATTCTTTGTAAGGAATATTATTTATAATTTTTTTTATGCTGGTATGTCCAGGAGCTCATTTTATGGTGAACATTTTCATTTTCAGCATTTTTGTGAAGCTTAAAAATACATGGTAACTCTAAGTAGCATATTATCATCATTATCAATTTAAAAATGTTTGTTGACTTGCAAATAAAATAGAGATAGCTATCCCTTTTAAAAATTGTTTGGTTAAAATTTTCAAGGAATATGTATTTTTTAATAAAATGATGAGAGTTAAAGTTAAGCTTTCAGTTGACATGTAATTTATTAGGATAACCTCATTTTGTTATTATATCTCTTTCATTTTTCTTTCACATTTTACTCCTATAGAACCAAAATTTGTAGGTGCATATATGATTCCTGACAATGAAGACCGAGATGACGACAAAGTATATTTCTTTTTTACTGAGAAGGCCCTGGAGGAAGAAAGCAATGCCCACGCGATATACACCAGAGTGGGGCGACTTTGCGTGGTGAGGATGGTGTTTCTAACTCATTAAAATTGCTTATCTCACAATCTATGGCCATGCATTTGTTACAAATTTTATAGTAAGTTTCTGCTTTAAATATTTAGTATTCTATAGGCATCCAAAATTGGCATTTAATAAAACAAGATTTATAATTCATGTTTTAGTCAGAGTTTTCACTGCTTTGACTATTCCTTGGGGCTTGAGGTGAGGCAGAAATACATGGCCGAAGAGTATGGCAGAGGAAGTGGCTCACATTATGTTCAGAAAGCAGAGAAAGAAACCTACTTGCCAGACACCAAATATATACCTTAAAGGCACACCCCCAAGGACCCACCTCCTCCACCTACACCCTTCCATTGCCAATTAATCCCATCAGGGGACTCATTCACTGATTGGACTAAGGCTCTTGTAACCCAATCATTTCTCCTCTAAACCTTGCATTGTCTCATACATGAACTTTGGGAGAGACCTCACATCCAACCATAACACTTCACATCTATAAAAACTTCATATCTAGTGCAGGTTATATCTGCATTTTTTAATCTGCATTTTGTATGATTTTTCTCATTTTCAAAGCTATTACTATAAACAGTCTATAGTTAGTTTTAGAGTTACAGTTAAGTTATAGTTATAATAAGTAGTCTATAGTTAGTCTGTATTTCTTCCTAAAAAGAAGTTTGAGGGTTTTTTTTTAATGAAATACATTAATAAACCAAATTAAATAAACCAAAATCTTTTTGTTTCTTTAGTCCACAATCTAAATAATATACACAACTGTGTTTGAATAATTCAAGTTGGTTGACTTTATAGAAAAAAAAATCTGTAGTTTGAGTATTCAGTCAGGTTTGGAATAGTCAAACAAATTGAAGTAGCAACATGTACTTAGAGACTGCTAATAATATTACAAATGTAAAGTAAATCTGTCAGTTAAGAATCAATTTAAGTGTAGATTTAAGAGGGCTTGGGATGTGGCTCAGTGGTAGAGTGCTTGCCTGCCATTTGTGAGGACCTGGGTTCAATCCTTAGCACTACAAAAGAGGACAACGAAAAAATTTAAAGAACTTGTATGCATACATACATATGTAAGTTATGTGTACATTCTCTCTCTGTGTGTGTATAGATTATTTATCAACAAAATAAAGGTTACAGTGTCATAAAGCCCACTCCTTCATTTAGAAGAGACTACTATGTTAACATTGTTTAATACCTAGAAAGCAGACCGAATACTTCAGAGTGATAATACACTGACAAGTCAGAATGTGAAAAACAAAACAAAACAAAAACTATAGGAATATATGTTAGTATTCATTTGAGGCTTATGCTAAATTTTCTTAAATAGGAAAAAAAAAAGCTATAACTCTTGACATCTGCACATTGACTAATACTAAATCTGTTGTTGGTAAAAGCTCTTTATGTGCCCATTTACTTGTTTTCTTTTTCACAGAATGATGTGGGAGGGCAGAGAATACTAGTGAATAAATGGAGCACGTTCCTCAAAGCAAGACTGGTTTGTTCAGTACCCGGAATGAATGGAATTGATACATATTTTGATGAATTAGGTAAGTATTATTTTGAGAATTAAATTTTACTCTTTGATGTGTAGCTCTCATTATGTCTGGTACATGTGGAAAACTTGTTTCCTGCAAAATTTGACTAGAGCACCAACCTAGAGCATGTTTCTATTCTTTTCATTTTAACCAGGTGCCTGGTGATAGCAGAGGAGTTGCAGGAAAAAAAGGAGATCCATCTCATTAGTTTAGAGTCAGTGCCTCTGGTTCCGTCTGTGTGGGTTAGCTAAAAACCCAGAACACTGAAAGGATTCACCCTATTATGTTTTGGTCACAGTTGTCTGGGTGTATTTGGAAATTTATGTCTTTAAATCTATAATAAGTTCTAAACTATTTCATGTGAATATGTTTTCTCTGCATGTAAAGAGGGCTAAAAACTCCAATTGATAGATGGGTCTTTAATTTTTCAGAGGATGTTTTTTTGCTGCCTACCAGAGATCATAAGAACCCAGTGATATTTGGACTGTTTAACACTACCAGGTGAGAGATTTATACAGTCAATATAAAAATGTAAGCAAGAATTGTCTCTCTAGACTCTCCTTTCATGGTTTATATAACTTGGAAATACTATTGACCCAGTCATCATTCTTGTTTTCTGTACTTTATAAATCACCAACTTCTCCGTGTTCACCCACGATTGCAGCTCATTTTCAAAGCCACAATCTCAGTCCAGATTCTTGTTTTTGTATGCGGTGTCCTAGCATCCTCATGTGCTTAATATCCTGACCTCTTCCCTCTCTAATCTACAAAAAAAAGGACAACTTTTTTCTCATGTAATTTGTCAGATATTGATTTAATGTTTCAGAGACCAGGATAATTCTTTTGTCTTATCAAATTGAACCTTCTAAGCCAGAGTTTTATTGTTCTTTAATAACGGTTACCCACCCATCTTTGAAAGATTCCCCACCCCTGCCGTGAGCCCTCCACTGACAAGATAATATGTTGACAGATTCTAGCGCTTATATTGCCAAATACCATCACAGTATTTTTATTTGTTCACTTCTTTTGCTTGAAATGACTTTGTCTTCCAACATTGGTTTGTGTCAGTTCTCAACACATATCAATTGTCATGTCCAGGAAATAGCCCTTGGTTCCTTAGTCACTAAGCAATCTTCCTGCCCATTTGTTCTGGCCATCTTCCTCCAATGTATATTCACAGTCAACACCTTTATGATCTGCTCTCCTTCTTTCAAATATGCTATTCAATTTAGTGCTGATAATCTGTTATTTTTCCTTTACATTCTTATAAGAATATAAAGGAAAAATAACAGATTATCAGTGAAATAATAGTTCATTCATGGATGAAAAAGTATGACTAAAATATGTTTTGGTTGAAAGTTTATGTACACAATTTCCTCAGTATCTTTCCAAATAAGGCAGAGAATGGATAAAATGATTTGAGTGAGAAATAAAGAATATATCTCACTCTCTCAGCAGAGATGCAATGATCTTACTCAGTTTCTCATTTGCATTGTATTGGCCATAAACTGTCCATGACCCTGTATACTGTACTTTACTTAGAGACTTTCCACACAGCCTTTTTGAGTTTTTCAGCAGGTGATTTCAAATGCTCACTTTGAAAAAAATATAAGCTCCTTGAACAAGTATGGTGCTGTTGTAAAGAGACCTTTTTCTGCAACAGGGTAACATGGAAATAACATTCTATCAATTATTTCTTGAGCAAAGAAATATTTAATAAAGATTGGCAGCTATCACAGTTCATTGAAAGTCCCTTAATTTTCTTTTACTTCATTTTCTTCCATATGCCAGTAAATAATTTATATGTTTCTTGAACACTCAATGGCTTTATACAATGAACTCAAGTTATGAAATAATGCATAGGCTTTTTAATGGATTAGTATGATCAATTTATAAGCCACTTTCCTAAAGGATAGCATATTGGATTTTTCTGAAAAAAGAAAGACAAGCTTTTCTTCTGTAATTTCCATTTTGACTGTTCAATTCATATACAAATCTGAGAAAAAAAGCTCCCAGCTGTTACCTGACATAGAATGGTTGATATTCATGGAATAGTGATCAAAGGCTTATTGTCACTTTAGTTGAAAGACTATGTCTAGTTTTCATCAGTATCCCAGGCATTTGCAATTGTTTCAAGGTGTGTTATAAAATGTTGATTTGATATCTTTAGACAATAACATTACTGCTGTTCTACAGGTGTAGGAAATCCTATATTTATACAGAATTTTTCATTTTAGAAAACACTTTCACAACATCATTTATTTCCATTCTCATACTACAGAGGTTCAGAAGATGTTAGAATTCATTCAGATCATGACAGATTAAGTAATACAGCCAGTTGTTTTTTTTAAAAATAAATCTTTTAGAAATATCCTTTTGCAGAATCTGATTCCAAATACCCACAATAAAATTTGCTGTGGTTAGTCAACTGCTTTTTTTATCCTCTGAAAATAGAAATTTTTATCAAGAAAATCATTTTAATTGCTGCTACTTCTGGAGGTGCGGGAGCTGAGCTTTATAGAATTTAAGTAAATTTTCTCAAGTTTAATTTATTCGGGCCAGTCATCTTCCCACAATAGCACAGTTTTCAGTGAACTGGAGGAAAGAATTCAATAAGTGTGCTAATGTTTATGAGACCTCTGGATAAAAGAATGGAACAGAGTCTTAAGTTTTCAGGAGACATTAAGTTTCTCTTCATATCACATACACTGAGAAATCTAATAAAATTTGGATAAAACTTTTTAAAAAATATTTTTTAGTTGTAGATGTATACAATATATTTGTTATCTAAATAATTTATTATTATCTAATTAGAATCTAAATAATTTATTCATTTATTTATTTTTATGTGGTACTGAGGATTGAACCCAGGGCCTCACATGTGTGAGTCAAGTGCTCTACCCCTGAGCTACAACCCAGCCCTTGGACAGAACTTTTAGCAATATTAATAGTATGGTGATTAAAAGAACTGTCTGCTTTGAAGATAAAACAATGTAAAAAGAGATAATAACTTAAAATGGGTAATTAAATATGAGGATGAATCTTTTTAACTGTAGGTCAGATCTTCCTTAACAAAAATGAAAAAACACAATATACAATTTAACAATAATAAATTGAAGTTACACATTTTCTTTAATGGTCTTCTAAAAGGGTAATTTTAAGCTATCATAAATAGTAAATTAAAGAAATGTTACATTTTGAAATTTCAATATTTAAAATATTGCAGTAGTTAATATTTTCAGAATAATCTATGTTTAAAGGAATTGCAAGATTTTTACCCAAAAGATCTTTTTAATCTATGTATGTTGGAATATTTGACCAGGTGAACTGTTGGTTCCCAAAGAGTAATTACTTTTTAAATTTTTTTTTATTTTTCAGTAATATATTTAGAGGGCATGCTATTTGTGTCTATCACATGTCTAGCATCCGGGCAGCTTTTAATGGACCATATGCACATAAAGAAGGACCTGAATACCAATGGTCACTCTATGAAGGAAAAGTTCCTTACCCAAGGCCTGGTTCTGTAAGTTCAGCTATTTTGATCAGTTTTTCACATGCTTTGCCAGAGTTTACAATTAAACAATTAAGGAATTGTATATTTAAAGTATACTTGGAGGATAAAGAAACAGCTGTTTCATATTCTTATATGCTTGTTATTTGATGAAAAGAACATAATGGATACATTGTAGCAGTATGATAGAGTCTATATAATTATTGATATTTTGGCTAAATAGTTCCACCTAAAGTTTTACTTTTAAGGGTACTGGTGAATACAGAAACATCTAATAAAATGAGAATCATATATTTTCCTCCCAGCCTGTTGAGGAGAATTAGTATCACATGTAATTTCTAATCAAGAAAATGTTGCCCAGGTTTTATATTCTTTTTTTTCTTTCTTTTTTTTTATTTATTTCTTACATACATGACAGTAGTGGAGTGCATTACATTCATAATTATCCATTCACAGCATAATTTTTTGTAACTCAGTATGTAGAGTATGTTCACACCAAATTATGCCATTGTACATGAGCTCTCCCAGGTTTTATATTCTTTCTTTAAATATTTTTTTTCATTGCCAATGGACCTTTATATTATTTATTTATATGTGGTGCTGAGAATCAAACCCAGTACCTTGCACATGCTAGGCCTCCAGTTCTAATATGGGTTAACCTCTAAGTTCTCTAGGCCAAAATTTCTTGTTACTTGTTATTTAGCAGATCAAAAAGAAGTTCTTTTTCTCCACCCTCTTAGGATATTTAACACCTTGCTTCATACCTTTATTGCCTATTTGAAAAAAATAAGTGCCAATACAAAGTATAGGTAGAGTATGGGACATTGTCCCACTTGCCTCTGAATCATGGATAATAAGATTCCCCTCATTAGCCATTCAGACTTTTGTGCTTTTAATTGCATACATGTCTAAAATTTGGATGATGATAATAATGGTGATGGTTTCACATCATGGATCCTATATGCAACTATGTTGGAAAAATGTTATATCACTCTAGGTGCTGTGTGAGGCATGGGGAACAAACATTTAACTTGTCATGCAAGTCAACATCTAGACTTTCATGAGCAGCTGGTGAAATCTCATCACCACCCTGATTCCATAATCACTTGCAAGCCAAATAGAAACCATTTTTGCAGAGTCAATCCCAAAGTGGATACAAACTTTTCCTCCATTAACAAGTGTAAGTCTTTCCCATTATAATCACTCTCTTTCACTGGCTTAAAATTATTACTTCCAGTAAAACATAAAGTATATTTTATTTCACTCCATTGATTGAAAAGTACAATTTACATGAAGAAAACCCAGTTCTGTGGCTTTGCTGGAAAGACTTCTTTAAACCACTTGGCCTTATAGAGATTGTAGGAAGTGACTAAACTGCTTCCAAGATAATCCAAAATGTTTCTAATTATGTATCATCAAAGTGCAAGCAAGTGAAAATTTTGTGCCAAATTAAGAAATATGGCCTGATTTTTTAAAAACAAACCATTATAAATGCACTCTTTGTAGAATCTGATTACTAAAGTAATGTTTTTATACTCTAAAGTGGAAAATTTTTATCAAGATAATCATTGAATTTGCTGCTGGTTTTGGAAAAATAAATGCATGAAATGAGGGATTCCTTATTAACAAGCATGAATCAACAGAGTTGAAGGTATCCCAAGAAGTAACTTAAAGTGCTGGTGAGCAATTTTAGATTCAGTGATTTAAGAATTGAGACATGTTATAACAAATGTTTGCAGTTTTTTGCTTATTGTGTCTAATCCATACAAGAATAATGAAAATTCATAGACATTATAGTAGCACAACATGGAGAGGGGTTCTTTTCAATGAAATTTGAATAGGTTTCTATGTTACAGCATTAAAATCCTGTAGTCTCTTAGTCAATCAGAACCTTCACCAGTCATACTTATCATAGTCTCAATAATTGAAAAGATATTTTGTGCAGTTGTGATTCTTAGTTTGAGAGAAGATTTAGCACCACAAAGAGACTTTGTTTTTCTGAGAGATTCTTTACCTTCAAATTTGAATTCACAATGTTAAAAGTTAAATCAGGATAATTAATTTTAGCATTTATACTGTTACAGAATTTTGCCAGCCCCAAACTGTCCTGGTATTAAATGGATTTTACTTTTCCAAGATTTTGCTACTTTCTTTATATTTTTAGGGCTGCATGTTTAAAATAATTTGGCATTCCATTGCAATTTTTAATTGAGTCTATTTCTGTAATGAAGAATATATGGCTACTAAGTACTTTTAAATGCACAGTTGATTAATTGAACAGATCCCACTTTTTAAATTCTTCTTATAAAGGATCATAAATTTACTGTTTAGATTTAAGGCAGAAATAATTGTCTAATCTGCTTGCATTTCAGTGTGCCAGCAAAGTGAATGGAGGGAGGTATGGGACCACCAAAGATTACCCTGATGATGCCATTCGATTTGCGAGAAGCCATCCACTAATGTACCAGTCTATAAAACCTGCTCATAAGAAACCAATATTGGTAAAAACAGATGGAAAATATAATCTGAAACAAATAGCTGTGGACAGAGTGGAAGCTGAGGATGGCCAATATGATGTCTTATTTATTGGTACAGGTAAAGAGACAAGAGAAAATATCAAGGCATTTCACTTGGCCCTTAAGATAATAACTTTAATATTAGTGTTTAAGAAAGCACCTATGGACAAGTGTCCAGATGATCCCATTAGCCCATCTGCACACCACTCATCTGAAGTAAGAACACTTGTGAGAGTCTCCATCATGTGACTGCAACAGCAAGATTTATGCCTGTCGTCGAACCATGAGTGATACTTTCATTGTCCAAACTATCATGATTTAGGTAACAAATTGTGTGGTCATCACTCTTGTTCCAGATCTGAGGAATGGTGACATAATCAAAGAGAGAATTTAGGGCTGTTATAACACACAATTCCTGACACAATTTCAATACTTAATACATTCACATACGTGAAATAATTGAAGAAGTGAATAATTGATCTTCATAAACAAGTTGATTCCAATGGATCTTATATAATGGAAAAAGGATACCGTGGGAAGCATGGTTCTCCTGTGAGCCCCAAAGCCCCTTTCTTGCCTTTAGCTGCTCAGTTTACTGAACTTACTGAGCTTATGATTCTACAAACAATTTATGACAATAACATCACACAAGTCTGTAATCACAAAAATGCTTATCAACCTCCATCAGAAAAATACTTTTGTACTCAGGAGGTCAAATGTTACCTGTGATGCAGATAAACAATTACCCCAAAGCTATAATATACTGGGTTAAGAAGATGAAGTATAATGAATATGCTAAAAATGAAAATTGCAAATAAATTCAAAATTTCAATTAATGCCATACATTTGCTTTAATTTGCGGACGAGAACCTAGATTTCACATTCAGAGTAATGGAACAAATACTGAGAAATACTTTAAAGAGCTATAGCAATTTTAAAACTTGTTAAAACCATCATTTCTTTCTTTCTTCTTATGCAGCATAATGATTGCTATAGCAGTTGCTCTTTAGAGGAGTAAGCCTTCTACACTATGTAACATCCATCACAGATTTATAACTCTGAAGAGATATTGGAATATGCTCAGTACAGTAATCAGGATGTATTACTAATATGCATGCTTGGAAAATAATAAAAGATTTAAGCAAGGAAATATAAATCTTATTTCCATAAATTGATCTCTGGTACAAGCTATAATTTATCTACTCATTTTAAGAAGTTAATATTAATATTATGCTTTTCTTGTGTTCAAGATTATCAATGTATCATACTTCTTCAGGAAACCTAAAATTATTTGGCAATGAGTCTACTCATAATGACTTACAACAGAGATTTAAAAAAAAAAAGAAAAGAAAAGGTGGAGGTTCCATAAACAAGATGTGTATTTGATAAAAATTAAGCAAACATATTATTTTAAAATGCTCTGGAGATCATAAAATAAAGTAACAGTCCAAGACATATTTTCTTGCAGATTGACCAAAGATATTTTGAGAGAATTACAGAAGTATCAGATATATATTTGTGCTATCAAACATACCATGTTTAACTCAAAAATAGCATCATACTAAAACACAAGTTTTCAGAAGAAAATAACATGGTTGATGAATATGTGATGAATAGACTGGAAAATATCACAACTTGTATTTATTTCTCCCAATACTTATCAGATGTAGGCTTTAATGCAACACATGTATAGTCATCACAAAATCAATAGTTGCAAATTAATAATCTGACTTACATCTTTTCTTTTTGCCTGATATAGTAATTGAGAACAATTTAATATGTGCTTACTTTTCAAGATAATATTTTTTTAGTTAGTTGAAAATCAGGTAATTTCCATTGTTTAATTACCATTCGGTTTTATTAATCCAGTTACAAGATTTGATAATTTTTCAACAAATAGCTCAAATATGATAAAAACCCTTCAATCAACATTTCCAAAGTTTTTTCCTCCTGAATTGTTACTTCTAACACCATATGAAATTATTTGTGCAGCTAAATTAGTTGTATTTTAAAGTTTTCATTGGAAGAAACAAGATTAGAATATCATGAATAATAAAAATAAAATGGAATTTTGAAATATAAATATAGAATTATAAAGTGTTATAAAATTGTGAAAGCTAAATGGTTGGTATGGGAGGACTCATAATACTTTCTAAAATAGTGTAAACGTAATTTTTTTTTTTAAATTTAAAAGTGTATTTAGAGCTGGGGGTATAGCTGAGTGGTAGAGCACTTGCCTAGCATGCAAATAGCCATGGGTTTCATTCTCAGCCCCACAAAAGCAAACAAATAAAAAGTGTATATGTTATTTCTGTATCATGTTGCTTAGAATGTTCCCTAAATTTAAAACAATAGTTTCTTAACATGAAAGTAGCCAAGGTAAAATATTTTCTTGCATCACACATTGTAGAACAAGCTAGAATAATATGGCATATTCTATATTTATTAATTCCAAAAGACATTTTGGTTTCTGAACTTATAATTGAATTTTTTGGATTAAACCACTTGAATGAGTGTGTGTGTGTGTGTGTGTGTTTTCAAAATAATATTTTTATTCTTTTTGGTTAGTGGAAATTTTGGATTAATAGTTTTATATATATATATATATATATATATATATATATATACATACACATATACATATAGACAGATATGTAAACACATGCATATATATATATATGTGTGTATATATATATGTGTATATATATATATATATATATATGCAGAGAGAGAGAGTTTGTTTTAATTCTTTTGGCCAGGCGTATAAAATTATTAATTTTACTAATTTACCATATGGGCATATAGGTAGTCAAATGGTTTTTAACTTGCAGCGATTAAATGTTTAATGCATCTATGATTTCACATCTTATTTGAATTTATAGTTTCATGTGGTTTTAACTGTATGAAAATCAATTGTGGCATACCTTCTAGTTTATCTGTTTTCTTTTCTTTTTTCTTTTTTTGCTTTCTTACAGATACTGGAATTGTCCTGAAAATCATCACAATTTACAACCAAGAAACAGAATCCATGGAAGAAGTAATTCTAGAAGAACTTCAGATATTCAAGGTATTTTTAATAAATAATATACCCAAGATTATGTACTGCAGAAAATTACAATTTAGAATTAAGTTGAAAAGATGTTATGTCCATTTTTTCCCTAATAAGTGTTCTGTGAATTCATAACATTGAGGAATGATTTGAATTTCTAATGCCTCTGGTATTTCATTGTCATAGACATTTCAAAAGAAGAGACCTGTCCTCATGTAGCATAAAAATAATTTTAATATAAAAACTGCTACTATAAAAAAGTAACATACTACATAGGAATTTCAGAGTGACAGTTGCAAAGTCTCATCTTGTACAAATGAACTATCAATAGTTACAAAAAGTAATATGTTTTCATATTGTGGACATTGTGGCTCGACAAGCACACTGCTCTTAATTATAGTGTATTAACTACACATATAATTTACTAAAAATATAAAATAATAATCTGAAGATTATATAGGACTAAAAAATTATATATATGTGTGTGTGTGTGTGTGTGTGTGTGTGGATATAATATATATTATATAAATACACTTTGAAAGGTCTCATTTTTCTCAGCAGTTATGGTCTTTAAGATCACCATTGCTTCTGAGGGAAATACAGAGTTAGGTTCCTGCAAATTTCTGATTATAATATTTTCAAGTGATCAATAGATAAACTTGTTTTATGTGTGTTCCTGTTAAAACACATCTTTCCGTTTATATACTTAGTTGATTAATTAATAACTGAGTTTAAAGTCAACAGCACTATAATTCACTGAATGAAGGTTATCATATGAAAACATTTTCTATGTTAAGATGCAATGTAGCCTTTTTGAGTTTAGAAACTATAAAAGGCACTTCAGCTCTAGGCTTGGAGGTCATTTTATATAGCAAAGTACTAACAAAAAACAGCATGTAAAGAAATGTCACTAAATAGTGTGAAGGACACTTGTTTACATCCTGGGTGCTGAAACTTGATTTCAGCTGATAAGTGCACCATCTGCAAAATGTGCATCTGCATGTCCTCAAATGAGAGCCACAGCAAGTTGTTGATATTGGGATTACAATTAATTTAATAGTAAGTGGATTTGCACACAGAGAATATACAAATGATAAGACTCATCCATATATGTAGATGATAGATATATGTGAAAACACTTTATTAATAGCAGTACATTTTACCTTGGCTGTCTGGAGACCAGATTTCCCCAGTGCCCCACACTAAGTTAATCAGAGGAACTTTGCTTTTGTTTATTTTGTATTTTAAGCCTCTGTGTAGGACTGATTTCATGATAGGTCTATAGCTCTCATATGAAGAGCATGCACTGCCATGTCTTTTCATATAAACTCTACATCATTTTCTGAATGAATAAATGAATGATACACTCATGTATAAAGCGTTTTGTGGCTTAAAATATTTTTTTAAATCCACTGATATAAAGTATCAAATATTTGAAAAAATAATTCTGAAAAGGGTAACTATCCTGAGTTAATTCTGTCTGCCTATTATTTCTCCACTTAGAGAACTGATTGAAATTTGTCATGTTCCTTAAAGATGCTCTGAATCAAGATAGCTAATACCACATGCTGACTCTTAAAGCTATGCTACATGTCATCCCTCCTTTGGTGCAATTCTAAGAAAATGAGGTTATTCATCTTGTTCTAAGAATCCAGGATTCATACTGATTCACCATGATCACTCCAACAGAAAGTGTTTTGTTTAGGCTTGGGTTAAAATAATTAAAGATCGTATGGTTTACTAGTAATAACAAGTACTCTAGAATATAACTATTTTACTTTTAATGGTTCAAGAACACTCTGACTTCGTTATTTTAATTAAGGATACTAGAATTAGAAAGCACGAATAGTATTCAACTGCACATGCAAAAAGTACATTCCAGAGACAGTGAACTGATTAGATTATTCACTGTTTTTTTTTCTCATCTGTATATCTATTCCTATCCATGAAAAAATTAAAAACTTGTATTTTAGTTTAGTTGAATTTACATCTAATATAAAATGAAAGCTGTAGTTTGCGAGGAATAGAACCACTCATATGCCTTATTTGATTTCAGGTGATTTACAACCATGTTAAGGTAGATATTCTGTGATTTCCTTTCTTAAAAAAGATTTTTTTTTCAGGATCCAGTTCCAATTATTTCTATGGAGATTTCTTCCAAGAGAGTAAGTTGTATATGTGCATATGTGTGTGTGTATGAGTTCTGTAAATTAGTTGAGGCCAAAGGATGTAAGAACATTAGTACTTTTCATGTATATGAATGAGCTGCAGTTTTCTCCCTTAATTATTTTCTTTTGTTGTGGTAAGAACACGTAACATGAGATTGATTCTCTTAGTGACTCTTAAAAATACACTATTGTTGACCATAAGCTCAGTGATATACAACAAATCTCTTGAGCTTACACATCTTGCTTGACTGAAACTTCATGCTCATTTATGATAAAACATTATTCCCTTGTTATTTTTCACTATTTTTATGCAGAAATAATGGTAATAATAACACACAACTATGTAGTGAAATTCTTCTTTCCTTCTCTTCATTGGAATCAATTTTTGATGTGAACTTCTTTAGAAACTGTTGTTGCATATATTGCCTCAAATTTATTTATCAATAATTCTTCATGTTTAGCAAATAGTAGTCCTTTTCTTTTAGTGTATTTTACAACCATTTTTATCATTACAACACACACATGCACACACACACACACAGACAAATCACTCTTCTAAATGTTTATGTCAATATTTGAAAGACTATTTATACAATCTCTTATTGGATGCTCTTATAGATCTTTAAAAGGAGACCTAGAGTGTTAGATAATGCAAGAGTCTTTCTGCTTAGATAACCAATAAAAGAACAGACAGTTTTTTGAGTTCTTGTCAAGCTGAGTCTAGCAATTTTATTACTCCTGCATTTAATTCTGTAAAAGTATTTCAAATTATGGAAAAATGAAAGTGGTGATTTTCCATTATCTATCCTGAGCAATTGCTGGGCTTTTACTGAAGTGTCTGTGTTTAAATTTGGAAATTTGGTTATAATAGTTCAGTTTAAGTGTTGTTCATTTCCGCTAGTGGTTTCTCTCTGCTTTCCATAGCAACAGCTGTATATTGGATCTTCTTCTGCTGTGGCTCAAGTCAGGTTCCATCATTGTGACATGTACGGAAGTGCTTGTGCTGACTGCTGTCTAGCTCGAGACCCTTACTGTGCCTGGGATGGCATATCCTGTTCCCGGTATTACCCAACAGGCACACATGCAAAAAGGTGAGACATGTTTCTCAATGGAGTGATTCTTTTGTTCAGAAAAATGCTAAAGCTTATTCGGTCTTTTTTGTACCCATTCCATGAAATAACCATGATATTTTATTTAAATAAATCATAGATATATTTTGATCATAATATAATACTTGAAATTTTCCTGAAAATTACTTTCATGTATTATTGTGTATATGTATTGGAGCTGAATAGGCTTTTGGACTTTTATTTTTCCACCTGGGTTTGAATCAACTCTTCCCTTTTCTAAAATTTTTTCTGGAAGACATGAAAGAAGTTTAGACAAATGTAAAATGTGGAAATGGCAGGCCAGCACTCTTGAAGGATTCAAAGACTTAAAAAGAAAATAAATAAATAAGTTCTGAAATACATCCTGCAAGTCTTCTCTACCAGCTGGTCTTCATTTATTTCATTTTGAAAGTGAATATTTTAACTCCTAGGCAAATGCATGACCTGTATAATTAATGAAATGTGTGATTTAATTCAACACAAATGAAAGGTACTTAAAGACCTCCAAACTCCAAGGTTTGCAATTCATGAGGTCATTGGCATTTATTAGGGAAGGTAAATCCAGGATTCTTTTAACAGGAGAACTCTAGGTTCAGAAAGTACTTTGATAATAAAGTGTTTTTTTTTTCACTCAAGCCATATGAAATAGTGTTCACTTTTGGAAAATAAAGAAAAATATTTTTATTTCTTATAGAATAAACAATGTTTTTTTTTTCTCACGACAAAGTGACCAAACACAAAGTAAAACAAAACATAGGACTATATAATATTTCCCCACTGAAAAGTAGTTTGTATTAATTTCATTTGTTCTTACTACTTAACTTTGGATTACTTTTTTAAAAAAAAAACTTTTTCAGATTTAATTTAACCCAGTTTAGTGTAATTATTTCTTATAGGTTTACACATATAGTACAATCTCATTTAAAAACTCCATTAACTAAAAAATTTGTTAATTTGACCTGAGCCAAATTAATAGTCCAATAAGTATTAAAATACATGATAAGCCAATAGTGAAATGAGGAATGAGGTTTTCAAAGGACATTTATGAACTAAATAATTTGCCAATAATATTAAAAACTTGAGCAAATTAAATCCCACTGACTCAGGAGACTGAGATAGGAGGATCACAAGTTTAAGGCCAGCCTTAGCAATTTAGCAAGTCCGTGTCTCAAAATTTAAAATAATTGAAAAAGAAAGAAAGAAAAAACTGGGGATATGGCTCAGTGGTAAAACACCACTGGGTTTAATACCTGGTACAAAAAAAAAAAAAGATTAAGCAAATTAATTGATTTTATAAAATGCATGTTGATATTTGAAAACAATTCTTGAAGAAATATACCCATATGAAAATGTTTTTTATTGATTTATTATGGTACCATGTACAAGGGCTACGAAGAAACATTCACTGGCCCTTATCTACTATAAATCAGAATCTAAGTTCGAGGTTTGAACTGAAAATAACCATGTAGTAGCTCACAACTGAACATGTCAGCTTCCAGACCTAGTGCAGCAATAAAATATTTTATTCAGTTCTCAAAATAACCCAGTCTTTAAGGTCAGGCTTGGAGGTAGAGATATAAGGAACAATTGTCTGTGCCTTTGCATAGATGCTCAGGGAAAGCCATGCAATTCCAGGATTCAGGAATGAAAAAGTAGGACTCCAGGGTGAAAAAGTAATTTGTAAAAAGTATTTAATACTAGTGAATATTTTTATCTTTATTTAAATTTATTTTAACTGATACATAAAAACATAAGTTGTACATATTTATGGGTTATCAAATGATGTTTGAACACATATATATTATATATGATTAAATCAGAGAGAACACATCTATTGCCTCAGTTGCCATTCTTCATGGTGGAAAGATTAAAAATTGTTTTCTTTTTTTCAAAACACATGGTCCATTATTGTTCCTGCAGTCCCCCTAGGAAAAGCAATTTTACCAAGTTACTAGAACTAATTACTTTATTGTTTAGCAACAATAAAAAATGTTTATAAGCCTTGCACCAAATGCTTTTAATAACAAGGTTTTGTATGAGTGATGGTGAATTTTAACTGAGCTGTTTAAATAGATGAATAATTTTTGGTATAAGGTGCATCTTAAGATTGTACAGCCACAAGGATGGTAATATTTTAAAAAGGATAAAGGAACTTGGAAAAAGTGAAAGGAATAGGCAAATAGTAGAAAAGTAATGGATTGAAGTCAGCAGCCATGCTCATAAATGAGTTAGTTCAGTTCAGACACGTAATGGAGATCTTTCAGTGGTTAGGGTTCTTTTGAACCATCACCCACCCCTGAAGGAGAATTTTTTTTTGATAAATTCCAGCACATGATGGGAAAATAGTTTGCTTTTATAGCAGATCATTTTTGCTTCAGACCTGAATAGAGCCGAAATTGAAAACCAGTCATTAAAATAAATACTTTTTTGCTCACAAAGTGAAAATGAGTCAACAGGGGAAAAACATTAATTCACAATCCAAACCACTTGTTTAAAATGGTCTTCCAAAATCCACCATAATTTATAAAGCTCTGTCTCTTTACCGCCTTTGCTTTTACATCTTGTCTGTTTCCAGTGTTCTCTTTAAAAGTTTTTGTAAGGCTAGAGATATAAGAAAAATATGCAACATTGGGAATGAAAAGCAACTTTGCTCATTCTTGAACTCCTGATACAAATACATGCATTTTTTAAAATGTTGAAATAAAGAACAATTATATTGGGATTATATAAAATGAAATTAAACCTTGTTGGAGGATATGTCTTTTCTTAAAAAACATAAATGTTTGCTATGATTTTAAACAATTATTGCATACTTAATACTCAAATTGCTTGAGAATTATGATTTCTGGTCTCTTTATTCTCAATCACTAGAATAATAATATTGATTTAACACCATCTATAAAAAATGAAAACTATTTCCCATTTCATTTTTTTACCCTGCTCTATTATTTATTATTGTTCAGTGAGATTTAGATTCCAAATATTGAAGTAATACTCAATGAATAAGGAATTAGCAACAGTAGTTTAATTTTCATCTAGATCTGCTGTCAGTTGTGTAATAACTGTACTAGTAGAAATAATAGCATAAAACTTTCTACTTCAGTTTTTTTTTTCAAAGTTATTTTGTTCAATCTAGCTCAATAGAATGTTCAACATGGCACTTTTTGGTCTTTGTAAAATTTCAGGCCTTTAGGTAAGGTTTTCTAATCACCAGTCTCTTTATTTAAAACAAAACAACATATGCTCTTGTTGTAGTTCCTAATCCTGAAATTTGATTGGAAATGTTTATCCACCCTAGCTTTTGATATGTGTTAAGCTGTTAAAAAGATCAGAACCCTTATGTGAGAAAGCACTTCATCTCTTGAAATAGCATCCATTATAATTAATTCACCAACCAAAACACCTATTTGAGCAGTGTTACAAAATACACTGTAATCTATAAACCTATGACTTTTTCTCTCCCTTGCTCTTATAATGTTCCAGAGCAAAATAAAATTGAGATGGTAATGGATTTTAGGTGTCCTTTAGCTAACTCCATTTTAAAAGCCAGAACACAAAGGGTGGGGAAAGGGAAGAGACACCTACAGGTGGTACATGTGTTGGTGGGGGCACTGGGATGTGACTCTGGTTCACTCTCCTGCATCTTATCACTGCATGTTGTTGAGACATCTCATTGTGACTTTGCAAGCTTTACCATTACCCTCTGGGAAAGCTCCTGCTTTGCCTTCTGTTTTTTTTTTTTTTCCTCAATCCTGAAAAAGCTCCATGATGTGAAGCAAGTGGTATTTTCCACGTTTACTTAATACTTCTATTTTAATCTCTAATTTGAATTTTTCAAATATACCATGGCACTTGATTTCAGAATTACACTACTCACAATGATAATTTCCATGGTTTAATGACTTAGAAAGATGCTTAAAAATTTAAACCTTATATAAAGCCTGGAAATATTTTCCATGAATTTAGAATGTTGTGCTCATTTTAGTTATATAACAATATAACGAATACAATAAATGAACAATTTATACAATAAGAAAATATATTAGAAGTGATCCTAGTTCTAATAGGTATATTGAAGGAAAAAAACCCTAATTGTTTTTAATCATGCTAGATGCACGGTATACAGTTAGACATGTATAACACACAAGCCTATTGAATAGAGTCATGTACTTTCTATTGTATATGAATAGATGAGTAAATTAAGTATATTATCAATTTATCTCATTTTCCTAGAAACTATTTGTGCCAATTTATCATTATGGCACTAAAGAATAAAATACTTCAATTCAAATGTCAATTTTCACATAAACTTTATTAAATGTAAGAGTTTTATGATAGTTTTTACTCAAATATTCTAACTCAAATCCTATTGACCTATCTACACATATCCCTTGCCACTCAAGACACCCCTTTCAACAAAAGGCTTCTTGTTGAATTAAAATTTTAACAAAATTTAAAGAGAAATTTGTTAAATTATCATTTAGGGAACCAGAATTCAAGCTATGTAAACATTTAAAAAATAGTATTAGATGAGTGTCAACTATTGAAAAATATTTAGTGGAGAAATTAGAAAGATGAAACTTGGATGTTATGCTTGTTTCATATGACTGATCAGGTTTTCAATAGCAGAGTACTCCTTGAATCTTTAATGTGGCTGAGTATATTTTAAAATCTGGAAAATTGAAACCTGAACATCGTCTAAAATACATTTTCTTTCTTTCAGACGGTTCCGCAGACAAGATGTGCGGCATGGAAATGCAGCTCAGCAATGCTTTGGACAGCAGTTTGTTGGTAATCCATAAAAAAATCAATTGTTATGAGTAACTTGGAGTGTTTATTGATGATAACTGCACATTTCTTAAAATGAGTCTCTTTCTTTGTGATTTGTATGTACTAGAAAAATGTTGTTGAAAGCTTTTGTTTTCGTCCATGAAGTTATGATTTTGTGGGCTTGATATGATTTTTTTCATAATTAGAAAATAAATTTCATCTGAATGAATACTTGATAGTAGACCTCAAAGCCGGGGTAATCCTAGAACAAGAATGTAGTCTAATTTATGTGGCTGCTGGCACAATGATTTGCAGAATTCATCTCTTCATTTCATAACTTATTTTATCAAATGTGATACAACTTGAATCAATTTACCTACGAAGATTTGGAACAAAGAGAAAAACTTTTCCTGGAGTAGAATAATCCTAGAACTGGTATTGGTGGTCCATGAAGTATGGAGGTCTAGTGGGTTAAGGATGAGAGGAAATTTCAGCTTGCAAGGAAGTTTAACAAGACAGAAAAAACACTCTCCTGCTCTTCATATCATGACGGATGATGAAAAGGCTGCATTTCCTATTGCTGGATTCACCAGGAAGTAGCAAGAGGAAAAGGCACTGTGATTGGGAGCTCAGCAGTGGCTCCATCCACACTCAGAGATGCAGTCCAGCACAACCTAGAACCAGGTTGACTTAAGAGTCACTGCAGCTTTCTTAAGACAGGGAGCACAGAAGGGAATTAGAATAATGGACATGCTTCTAAAGGAACCATGCCATGCGGTGGTCCCTAAATAAGGAGTCATCTGGGAGCTATGTCCAAGTGTGCTTTTTTCCATCAATGATTTCTTGGCCATGACACATCATAGGCTCAGTTCCTGGAATACAGGTTTGAGGATACAGTGTTGGCAGCATAAAGAAGAGGAGACCTCTCTGCAAGGACATAAAATGATAACCTCCCCTTGGATCCTGCTTCAAATAGTGGGACTCACAGAGATGAGACCTTCTAGCTGGATTTTTATGATAGTCTCTTTATGATTTTATAAATAAAGAAAAAGATCCATGTGTGTGTGTGGCGGGGGGGGAGACTCAAGTCCTAGGAACACTAGCAAGAGAAGAAGACATGGAAAATTTAAGGATCAGTTTTGAAGGTGAGAGGATTCAGGTATAGGGGAAAATGCTGGAATCTAGCTATTGAATTGAATTCATCTTGGTTAAAATAAACAAACAAAAAAATTTATTTCCTTTTATTCTCCACTGCAAGTAAGTACACTTTCCTGCATGCAGGTTTGAATTCAAATCTTGAGAGAACTGTTCTGGTCCAAGACATAGAATATAATCAAGAAGCTCTGGTTTGTAAAGGCTTTAGTTCAGTTCTGTACCTTTTCTTACAAAGACGCCCAACACCTGGGTGCGAGCCCTTGTCAGGATATCCCTTACGCTTGTGATTATGTAGTGCCAGATCACTCAAGATTTCTGAATTCTGCTTTTGTTTGTAGCCATGAATTTGGTTTTATGCCTTGCTAGAACATATGGTGTTCACATTCTTTTCCCTGCCATATCAATGAATGCTGCTGTTGATTTCCTATGAGTTTAACATTGATGGACCTTTTTATCGTCTTTATTCTCCCATCATTTTGAAACCAAATCCCAGTTGCCTCCTTTTGCTTGCTTGCCTTTTTAATGCCTAGATTTTGGCATGCCACTGTCTAAAAAAATTTATTTCTCTACATAAATCCAGTAGGTAATTAGTTACTCATGTTGTTTCAAGGATTTGATTAAATAATATTTTTTTAAAAAATTATTTACCAGTAACATCAAGTCTTAAGTTTGGTATTAACATTCCTGTTGTAGGAGACGCTTTGGATAAAACTGAAGAGCGACTGGCTTATGGCATAGAGAACAACAGTACTTTGCTGGAGTGTACCCCACGATCTTTACAAGCAAAAGTCATCTGGTTTGTACAGAAAGGACGTGAAACAAGAAAAGAGGAGGTAATTCATAGCTACACTTGGTGTCAAAATATGATTAAAATGTTTAAAACAATAACAGCATCAACATTAAACAGGTTGAATAATAAAGCTGTAAATCATATGTATGAGACATTAATAGAAGCGTTCTTGTCTACTAGCAAGAAAGGCAAAGCATCAGCTCTTTCATCAATTTAAGTAGTTTTTAGTAATGGAGGAAGTTTTCCAACATAATCTATATGATGGGAAAAGAAAGACTCAGGCGCTTTAGAGATGGAGGAACAGGAGGCATTAAGGCAGATGTATGGATCAATGTGCTGGCAGTTACTGGATAAAATAATGTGTGGAAGGAGCTGGCTATGTGGAAGGAGAGACCCAGGGCGCAAGGCAGTCAGGGAAGGTGATTTGGGCTATAAACTCAGTTTTTTCTGTTTTTTTTTTTTTGGTGGGGGTGGAGTACTAGGGATTCAAGTCAGGGGCACCTGACCACTGAGCCACATCCCCAGCCCTATTTTGTATTTTATTTAGAGACAGGGCCTCACTGAGTTGCTCAGTGCTTTGTTATTGCTGAGGCTGGCTTTGAACTCACAATCTTCCTGTCTCAACTCCCAGAGCTGCTGGGATTACAGGTGTGTACCTCTGCACCTAGCTGAGCTCAGTTTTCAAAAAAGTAGAATTACAAAATAGCAAGTAGAAGAACATTTATCTATATGAGGGAAATATATCGTGATGAATATTGGAGAAAAGGCTCCTTCTAAAGAGAAAGTTTGCAAGCTGAATAAGGGAAAGGGCTTCTAGAGACATGTCATAGGACCCAGGGAAGATCAAAAAGTGTGCATCTGATAGACAGTGAAGCAGTGGAAATCTCTACTTCATTTTAGCATGGATGATTAAACACTTATCATTAGAAGCCAAAATTACTAATTTCAAAAAAAATCACTTTTTATAACCTTTGGCTCAACTAAAAATACAAAATGATTTTGGTCTACACTCATAGTAGTACATTTTTGGAGATGACTAAATTTGTAAATCCTACATCCCTGGGATAATCATTAGAGAGAAAGATAGCTCGACATAACAAAGCCTATTGGAGACATTATAGAAATTCAACCAGGAAAGAAAAATTCTCCTACATTTTCATGACATCATAAAAATAAATATATATCCAAAATGTTATACCATATTGTGCTAAATTAAATTGTTCATTTAGTGTTAAAGTATTTTCCATTTCACAAATCTGAGGTGAAATGGTTTTTAAAATTCCAGTATAACTCACTTGGCAGGAGAGGATCTGGGAATATTCCATAGTTTCTCCTGTTGAATGGATTCAGAAGACAGAGAAGTAATTCTTTCATCAGTGGGTTACTTCATTCAGTATGTTCTGTTTCTAATTTTGGGCTCACCATAATCTGCCTCATTTGGAAATCTTTACCAAATCATTTTGACATGCTGCATCCATCAATGTTGAATTATCAGCTTCTTTTTCATATTGTTGATATAATCTGTTCTCCTTTTCCATAATTCCTAGTCACTGTTTAAACTGAATTCAAGTTTCCCTGACTGATAAATATATACAGGTATTTGAAATTTCATATCAACTCTCTGCATAAAAGTTATATAATTATTACATAATTCAGGGTTTCTATAGACATAGTAATATATGTATTGAATTATTCACAAACTAAAACAATACAAATCACAAATCCCTGACTTCATCAAAGGCTGAATATGTCATATCTTCAAAGCAGAATGATTTTTCAAGGGATTCCTGAGTTTTATTTAAAAACCATTTTGCATTTATTTTCATTTCGATGCCTCGTTTACTATGAGACATATATAAGGTAGTCACATTTTAAAATCTAGATCTTTATAAAGGCTAAGCTCACCTAGCCCAATTCTTACATCCTATGGGAAGTTTGTTCGAGAGTACCCCTGAAAATGTTCATCAAGGCAGAAAAGAATGATGCTACAAACCATAAATCATTAATTGTCAGACCATAGAGTATATGCATCTTCCCCTTTTTGGGTTAGAATGTTTGATTGTAGGGTTCCTGCCCGTTTCAAGCTTCTACTCTGTGCCTATTGGACTTGGCCCTCTGAAATTATCCAGAAACAACATATTCTTGTGGACAAAATTTTTGCTTAATCTCTGGAAACTCTATATAACCAAATTGTTGGAAAGCATCTAAAAACTTAGTTATCTAGTTTATAAACTCTAAAATGAAGCAATTCTCTCAAATATGCACTTATAGCTTCCTGCTTCTCTATTTAGATTGTTCAAAATATTGAACACAATCTCTATGTATTTATTATTTGCATAAATACTTTTGAAAGTCTGATTTTGTATGTATTTTGATTTTTTACATACTATGTATAGCTATATTTCTATGTATCTTCCCTTGACTGGATGACCTGGTTAATTATGATGTTATAGTTGCTATGAATATATTAAATAAATATAAATATATTAGGGGCTATAAATATCCTGAGGGAAAAGATACTTAATAGTTTTAATAGAAGAGGCTATTCTTTAATATGTCCCTGTTGCAACAGAAACTGTGGTAGGTGCCTTGCCCTGTCCCTCTCTGTCACAACTGAATAGTAGATATAATTATCCCCATCTTACCCATGCAGAACTAAAATTCAATATCATAACTTATACACAAAGTCAGTAATACCCCTGAGGTTTGAACTCAAATACTCCTGACTCCAAGGCTATGCTAATTTACATTCATTCATTTTCTAAGTATCAAGAACTGTGCCATGTGCTTTTTACAGAATATACCATTTCATTCTAATTATTTTTGGTTTACAACTGAGATGCACAATGTTTAATAATTTTTCTGGTTACTCACAGCTTGTAAAAAACAAATTCAGATCCAGGCCTCTATGTTTATTCTATTAAACCACAAAACCTTCCAAGATCAGCTTTCCAAATGCAGTTTCAGATGCTTTGGGGCAGGGAACAAATGGAAAACTGTTCATAATAAAGGTCTGGAATCTGACTTTGAAAAATGCTTCTGGTACCAGCTTGGTCATCATATCTGTGTTTCTTCACTGGAGTTTAGTGAAACCTGCTGCTGTGACATTGGTGACAAGGGCACTATTCCTCATGTCTAAATGTCTGAGAACCTGTGCATAATTGAGCAGCTCCCACTTTAAGCTATGATACCTTGAAAGAGTGTTATATGTCAGTGGATCTCTATTCTTAAAGTGTCTTTCAAGCTTCTACTCTGTGCCTATTGGTAGAAGGAGGCATCTGTGTCACAATAAATGTGCTGTATTATTTGAGCTTGTGTAGATATAAAACTCAGAGTATTTTAGCTTACTTTCTTGGATTTTTAACTACAATAACGTTTAGTTCATCAATAAAAATGTATTAATCAAATGCTTTTCTATCCTGCTTTCATAGAAGTTATATTCTGGAGGGCAATACTACTATTAAAAATAACAATATTTCATGTACCAGGTAGTGGTAAAGGGAAAAATATAAGAGAGATTACTTGCAGAGAGACATCACAATTTTAAAGAGCTAGTTATAGAAGATCTCACTAAGAAGGTCACCAAGAAAGCGAAAGTTGAGAAGAAAGAATAGGCCACATGACAAGATGGGACAAATTTCTGGACATTGGAAGCAGTAGATGCCAAAAGCTTCTGAGGTAGGAGTGCGCTGGTACAGTTATAGAACAACAGTGGAGGGATGGAGTAACTGAAGGAGAGTGAGCAATAGGGAGGTGAATAGACCCTGAGTCACAGAGGTGATATAGAGCTCACGCAGGTCTTGTAGGCCACTGTAAGGGGATGTTGGTACTTCTTCTAAATTAAATAGAAAGCCGTTAGGTAGATTTGAGCATAGCTGTGGCATGATTTGGCTTTACAAAGATCACTTTGAACTCTGGCATGGTGTCACTTGCCTATATCCCCAGGAACTCAGAAAGCTGAGAAGGATAATTACAAATTTGGGGGGCCAGCCTCGGCAGCTTTGCAAGACCAGATTCAACAACTTAGTGAGACCCTGTCTCAAAATAAAAAAGGAAAATAATTGGGTATGTAGTTCAGTGGGAGAGCACCTATAGGTTCAATCCTCAGTACCAAAAAGAAAATCGGTTTGATTATTTTTTTATTTTTTTTGCTTTAAGTACGTTCTATGTGAGAGTAGTGATGAAGGTAGAAGCAAGCAGTCATTGAAGGACATAATATTAAAATATGAAACTACATGTTCAAAGACACAACATTGGCTCTTATGTGTCACAGACCTTCAATACTCAGTGATGTACAAATGATTACCTCTCACATTAAGTAGTTGAATGCTTTGTCATATGTGCTTTCCAATGTTACTGAGGATTGTGAAGGCATATCACATCTCAGATGGAATACTTTTTCAACCTTTTGCTCTCTTCCTTCTCTTTAGATGTCTGTAATTGGTGTCTTGAACTCAAAAATATTCACTCAAAACTAACTTTAGTAGATGATAGATGATTAATAATTTATAATGTAGCTCTTGTGAATCCCCAAGACAGAAATGTGAACAAGTAATTACATTGTGTTCATTACAATTCTGTTGATTCCAAAGGAAAAGAAAACCATCTTAACCAGTAAGTGTGTTTGAAGGTGACATTTACACCAAGTCTTAAATGATAAGCAAAAGGTACTTAGCAGAGTAAACGGTACATATCCTGGAGATGATAAGCCAATGTTCATCCCTTAGATGAACCTTTAAAGTACTCTAGAAACTGGCCTATAGATTTGGGAGACAAGCAAGATGTCAAGAAGGCCATTTGTGAAGATATATCACAGAAAGATGTTTGGTAACATGAACTAAAGAGTGATACTAGCTGTGTGTGGTGGCACAAGCCTGTAATCACAGTGATTTGGGAGGCTGAGGTAGGGGGATTACAAATTTGAGGCCAGCTTTAATAGTTTAAAAAAAATCCTACCTCAAAAAATAATTATAAAAGGGTTGGGATGTAACTCAGTATTAAAGCACTGAGTTCATTTTCCTGTACCAAAAAAAGAAGAAGAGG